GGGGGGGGGATGCCTTTCACTGGGTGCATGAGCAGTGGAAGCCAAGATGGTGACCATAAAGGGGGCTCCTGAGGGCAGAATGTAACTGGGCGATGTCACAGAGGCTGGGGGCATCTAGAACCCTGGGGGGACCTGGCCCCGGCATCATCTGCCAGCAAGGCCACCCTGGTAGGTCAGTTCCTCCTGAGACCAGCCTTCAAAGATACAATGCGGATGTGACTGCCACCAGGAGCAGTTTCTGCCTAGGGCCACCCGGGTCCCGGTTGCTCTGCTTACCTGCCTCTGAGCCTCCCACTTAAGCTCACTTCCATTCCACTCTGGCTACGGGCCCCTGGGAGGTCCTGGAGATGCCCAAAGGCCTCCCATCTGCCATCCTCCGTGGGACCTAGGTTCACACGGAAGCAGGGGGTGGGCGGCCATGGGGCAGCAGCGGCTGGCCCTGGCCCTGAGCGTGGTCAAGGCCGCACTGGTCCTGCTGGCGCTGCTGGTGCCCTCACAGGCGGTGGTGCGGGCCGTGCTGGATGGCAACTTGAGCACAGTGGACTTTGCGGATTTGCCGGCCATGTTCGGGGTGCCCCTGGCCGCCGAGGGTGTGCGGGGCTACCTGATGGAGGCCAAGCCGGCTAACGCGTGCCACCCCATCGAGGGCCCCCAGCCGGTGGGCAACGGCTCGCTGGGTGCCATCGTGCTCATTCGGCGCTACGATTGCACGTTTGACCTGAAGGTGCTGCACGCCCAGCAGGCCGGCTTCAAGGCCGCCATCGTCCACAACGTCCTCTCGGACGACCTCGTGCGCATGGCGCACGTGTATGAGGACCTGCGGCGCCAGATCTCCATCCCCGCGGTGTTCGTGGGCGAGGCTGCCTCGCAGGATTTGCGCGTCATCATGTGTTGTGACAAGTCAGGCCACGTCCTCTTGTTGCCCAACTACCCGCAGTGCCCTGACCTGGACTGCCACCCTATGCTGGCCATCTCCTGGGTGCTGGGCCGCACCCTGGCCCTGCTCATGTCCACTTTTTTCATCCTGAGACACCTGTGGAACTGGCTGTGGGCCTGGTGGACCTGCGGGCCTGTGACGGTCAAGAAGCCGGCCAGCCAGAAGGCCGAGGTCCGCACCTTCACCCGGCTCAATGACTTGTGTGCCATCTGCCTGGACGAATACGAGGAGGGGGAGCAGCTCAAGATCCTGCCCTGCTCCCACACCTATCACTGCAAGTGCATCGACCCCTGGTTCTCCCAGGCCGCCCAGCGCTCCTGCCCCGTGTGCAAGCAGTCGGTGGCCAGCACGGAGGACAGCTCCGACTCCACCATTGAGAGCTGCTGCGATGAGGACCCCTCGGTGCGCAGCCACCAGCCCCCCATCTGGGCCATCCAGGCCCGGCTGCGCTCGCGGAGGCTGGAGCTGCTGGCCCGGGCCAGCCCACACCGCTGCTGCAGTGCCACCTCCGTGGGGGTGGCTGAGGCCACGGAGCCCTCGGAGAGGCCCCCAGACCCACTCTGAGGCCCACAGACCCCGGCTGGCGAAGCTCGGGGTGGGGTGGGTAGAAATAAGTGTTTCTAGTCTGGAGAGAATAAAATGGGTTTGAAAGCAGTGTCGTGCCCTGGCTGCTGTGAGGCCACCCCTTCTCTGGCCGCTCATGCCACCCATGTGACAAAGCCCTGTGGAGCCCAAGGCTGGCTGCTGCTGTCTGTGGGCGAGTGAGAAGATAGGGGCTGGGAGGGGGGCATTCAAGGTCACTGCGTTCATCCCCAGCGGTGGCTCTGCCTCGGGCCCGGGCCTCAGTTCCAGTCCTGGGACCAGGGCTGCTGATCCCGGATATGTTTGTTTATTATTTATTTAAACATTTTTGTTTTTTAAAAAAATTAACTTTTTACTTTGGAATCATTTTAGATTTAAGATAAGTAGCCAAAGTTCTAGAGAGTTCTCAGGTACCCTCACCTGGCTTCCCTGGATGTTCACATCTTCCATAAGCACAGCGTGTTCATCATAACCAAGAAAGCAACATGGGTACCTTGTGATGAGCTAAACTCCAGGTTTTATTTAAATTTCCCCTGTCACTCCAACTTCTTATACTGGAAAATATCAAACGTACCCAAAGCAGAAAGAATAGAATAATGACCCCTCCACGTGTACCCATTACTCAGATTCAGCAATTATCTCCTGTATCCATTATCTCTACTTTCACTCGCTCCCCACTCCCTTGCTATTTTAATGCAGATCCCAGATGTTTGTTTCATCCATAAGTATTTCAGGTCGTGTTCTCAACTGGGGTGGGGATTTTTACCCCAGGGGACACTTGGCAGTGTCTGGGACATTTTTGGCAGCCAACTACTGGGAGGTGCTATTAGTCTCTTGTGGGTGGGAGCCAGGGGTGCTGCTCCACACCCTACAGCACCCAGGACAGATGTCCCCACAGAGAATGACCAGTCCCAATGCCCACAGTGCTGAGGGGGAGAGGCCCTGCTCTTCAAGATACCGCCTTTTGAAAACAACCCCACAAATACCATTATCATGTTCAAAATAATGATTCCATCTGGGGGACAGCTGGAAGTGTGGACATTTATGGTGTACATTTCTTTTGGTTGTCTGAATCAGGTTGATTGGCTCCTAAGTCTCTTAATGGAGAGCTTTGCCCTCCATCTCTCTCTCTTTTAATTTTGCCTTGCACTTTATTTGGTGAAACAGCTGCGTCATTCACCCAGCCTGGGTTTTACCAGTTGGGTGTCCCTGTGGTGTCATTTAACATGTTCCTCAATCCCCTATATTTCCTGTAAATTTCTACTTGGATTCAGAGACCAACTGAAATGTGGTTTAATTTTATGGCGAGCAAATAAAGTGCTTCTTCAGTCCCCAGCATGTCCCCTTCTTTAGAAGGTTTGGGCCACATTAAGGGTTCTTCGGGGCTATAAGTGAGGGGCTCTTGCTTGGCCATATGGCAAGTGTGATCAGGGAAGTCATAGATCTGAGACTGGAATAGTGAGAAGGAGAGCATGCAGGAAGAGTGTTCCAGGCAGATGCACAGCCCGTGCAAAGGCCCTGAGGCAAGACCATGCCTGGCGTGTTGGAGGAACAGTGAGGAGGCCCATGTGGCTGGAGCAGAGTGAGCAAGGGGGAGAGAGGGAGGTGAGGGGAGGTTGTGTAGGGCCTTGTAAAACTTGGTAAGGAATTCAGTTTTTATTCTGAGGTGCTGAGTAAAACCATTGGAGGGTTTTAATTAGCTCAGAGAAAACTCCCCTTAGCAACAGTTCTAAGTCTCTGTTTTACAAATGAGGCAACTGAGGCCCAGAGAGGCTGAGTCACTTGCTTGGGATCACACAGCATGTGGGTGATGATGGGATTTGGACCCTGCAGTCTAGTCTTGCTGGATTCACAAGTGAATGTTTGCATTTAGTCAGAGGTTTCTTTTTTTACACACACAGAAGTGTTTTCACTTGTGCTTTGCTGTAGCCGTGAACTTCTGAGATGGTTTAGAAGGAGATTTTCCCTCCTCCAATTAATGGCAAAGATGGGCCTTCTGTTGTGGCTTATGTGTGTGGTGGAGGCTAACCAACCAGAGCAGCTTAAGCACATGGGGCTTATTTGCTCATGAGCATGAACAGTCAGTTCAGGGATGGCATGGAGGCTCCGTGCTTGGTGTCCAGAGCCCAGATTCCTCTCATTTTATTGCTCTACGTCCTCAGCAAGAGGGACAATACCGTTGGCGGCAGTGAGAACAGCACCAGGTGTTAGACCAGGGGGGTCAGACTGGACCTGGATTCAGCAACCCTGGTACTTGAGTTCTGGCTAGGAAAGAATTCAGAGTCAAGACTCAAACTATAAGAAAACATTTACTTAGAAAATCAGAGGTGGAAGAAATGAATGGTAGAAGAAATGGGCTTAGGAAAAAATTACAGAGGCAAAAAAAGGGTCCTTGGAGCTTGGGTGTGAGGAAGGTAAAGGTAACTCTTCTGGGGGGAAGAGGAGGTGGGTGGGGACAGGAAAGGCCTGGGCGTGCTCCCAGGAGGGAGAGTGTACTGGGTCCTCTGTCCTAGGGTTTTAAGGGTGGAGATTTTAGGGGAAGTCCCAGGGGAAGATCTCAATAGACTATTCAGCAGCTCTCCAGGTGTGTCCTTTCAGGGTCCGGGTCTCCACTGACTCACCAGGATGGATAGTGTGTGTCATTAGTCAATGCAGCTGGTCCTGATGTCAGCCTTGGCATCACTTGTCTGGTTTTGCTGCTTTTCTGGGGCTGGAGCTGAAATACAATTGAGGCCTAGATGTTATCTCTAGGGAGGAAAGATCAGGGGGTCTAAACTGAATGCCTAGTGATATGAAAGGTCAGGGGGTTCAAACTGCATGACCAGTGCTAGGGGATGAAAGGTCACCCCAGGGATGAGGTCCCACCCTATAATTTGTCCCTTGCTAGACACCCAGGGCTTTCCACCCTAGTGACCTTCTCTACCTGGCCCATCGTCCTCCCTCTGTTCATTACTGCCCACCACAACACAGCTGCTTGAGCTCCAGCCCTCATATCTGCATTCCAGTCAATGAGGAAGAAGGGGTGAGGAAGGGCTCACCCTCTCCCTTTAAAGACATTTCCCAGAAATCCCACACATCATTTCTGCTCATAACCCATCGGCCAGAACTTAGTCATATGGCCACATTTCCTGAAAGGAAGCTGGGAAATATAGTATTTATTCTGACTGGCCAATGGTCCAGCTGAAAACCAGGGGCTCTATTGTTATGGAAAAGGAGAGAACAGATGTTAGGGGTGACCAGCATTGCCTGCCATTTAGACTTCTTGAAGGTCACAGGTACCACAGGGGAGCAGGCACATCCTGATTCCCCAGACAGATGACCTTTCTAACAACCAAACTGCCAAGGAAGAGAGTGAGCACACTCACTAGGGATGAAAACAGCTCTTACTGAGGCTCTACTGTGCTCCAGGCCCCAGGCCACCTGGCTTCTTTCCACTATTAAATCTTTCTGAGCCTTGGTTTCCCCATCTGTAAATAGAGGACTGTAACAGCACCTGCCCTGCAGGGCTCTCTAAGCATGGATGGTCATGCACAGTGCCTGACACCTACTAAGTGCTCTGTCAGTGTTTGTGAATCAACTAAGTGACATGCCCATAGCCAGTTATAATATTGGGTGATCAGAGCTGTGATGGGAGGAATTCAGGCGCTGCGTTAACCCAAATGGAAGTGTCTGACCCCCCCCAGAGAATCTTGGAGGCTTCCTGGAGGCAGCATCTTCTGAGCAGAAAGAGCAGGGATCAGTACTATAAAAAGGAAAAGTGATTCTGGCAGCTGGAACAGCATGGGCAAAGGCCCCAAGCAGCCTGGTCTGGCATCCACTGGGTCCTTAATAGGTGCACATAAAGCCCTTGCCCTCAAATCAGGAACTTCACACTCTAACAAGGGGCCTCAGCTTTATCCCCTCAGTTCCCCAACAGCCAGAATTGGGCCATTCTCCAGCCGCCTCCAGGAAAGCTGGGTGCTGCCAAGGCCCGCCAGCTTAGCGAGACCAGCCTGTTCTAGCTCCAGCGCTCCTGCCTGGTGCTGCTCTAGGTAAACACCAGCGGAGGCTCCTCCCGCCCATCCAGGCAGTGGCCCATCTGTGTGGTCTAAGGGGGAGTGTGGCCAAATGGGGGAACTGAGACTCAGAGGAGGGTGACTAGCCTCCGTGATCGGGTGGATTCAGGGATCCTGTAATAGTAGCCGCCAGCGAGACTACTGAGCACATATGGGCTGCCAGGTGCCTGCACTAACTCCTAGCACCCTGAGCCAGGTTCCTGTGCATCCGCCCATTTTCAAGAGGAAGAAACAGAGTTTGTGAAAGAGGATATGGCTTGCCCAGGGCTACATACCTGGAAGCTGACTGAGCCAGTGGCAATGGGGAGCTCACTCCTGCACCTGAGACAGTCTTTTGCACCTTTAAATAGCTCTAATTTCCAGCTCTGCATTCTGCTGGTCTTACTTCCCCATAACTCCAGCTGTGTATCTCCATGACCATGTGTGCTGACCACCTACTTGTCCAAGCCTGTGCCGGGCACCCTAGACACGACAGTGACCAAGACAGACCTGGTCCCTGCTCATGTGGGCCACCCAGTCTAGTAGAGGGAATGGACTGTGACAAGACAGCATCAGGGTGACTGGGGCTGTCATAGGGGACACATAGGTGAGGGTTGAGAGGGGCGCTTGCCCCAGCCTGGAGGGTGGGGTAGGCTTCTCAGGTAGGACACCTACCTCAAGACCCAAAGGATAGAACGGAAGCAGCTGGGAAGGGTGTTCCGGGGGGAGGGAACAACATATTCAAGGACACAGAGACCTAGAAGACACCAGGGCTCTTAAACTTTTGGACATCTCCCCAGCTCCATACATATAACCACTTATAGTTATAACAAATAATGACACTTTGAGTTCATAACAAAGCTCTCTTCAGCAGCCTGAAAATGCTTGTGCTGTATTGTTCTAGAAAGTCAAATGAAAGTAGGTCCTTTTATAACCAATTCCAATTTC